GTTCTTTGAGCTCTTCGCGTGTGTACCGTTTTCCGTTCTCCTTTCTCTTCACATTGAGTAGTCCCTCGGCCTGTGCAATTTCACGAGCCTTTGAACGATGCTTGGGATCACGCGAGAGATACGATAATGCTTCTCTGTAAGAGGTCCATTGGCCAACGTACTGCAAAAGAATGATGAACAAGTTGCAAGTCTGTTGAAGCGCAATGGCTTGCAGTGGACTGACTACCCAAACTCGCCCCTGGAGAGGTCACTCCAGCACATGAACATGAGGACGAGCAGTTTGCCGGTAGAAAAACCCCTCTGGATGGACGTAGGAGCGGGATACCTGGGGCTTCCTCCCAACAGCGGGAGAAGTATTCACACTTCATTGGGCAATTGCGCCCATCCAAGCCGCGTAACCCCTAGCCAGTAAAGTTCAGTCCTGTCCACGATCCATCTGTGTCATTGGGCACACGACGCTAAGGGCCGATCTCGAACAGCGGACCCCCNTTCGATCTACGCCCCACTACCCCGCGAGCTAAACTTCTGAGTCAAAGGCTCCGGTCAGGGCTCCTCAAGAGAACCCCGTTCGCTGGCGTGGGTTACTGCGAAGTATGTCATGCTCTACAGTCTCAAGCACTGATTTGGAAAATCTCTTTCTCGTCTGTCTAGGATTTACACTCGTTCGCAAATCAAACGAGATGCCTTCTGTTTCTGCGACCCATGGGATGTCACTCAGCTTTCATTTAGTATGATCAAAAATTTAGAAGCTATATCCCTTTCACCTAGCGAGATACTATGTTCGCACACTCTATCAGATCAGATAACAAGCCCACCTTAGACCAGACACTTGGAACTTTCACGTTAGACTTATGTCGTGTCGCCAAAACACGGATACACGACCTACTTTCATTATTCCTCTGCGTTCTTTAAACTCACCTTTCTCCTCACTTTCCGTCTGTCAGGCGATTCGTCATCGGACTCGTAGTGTTGCTGGTGTCGAGAGTGCGCTAAGTGACAAGGCTAAGCGCTCGCTTCAGACTGGATTCCAGTTAGTAGCCGACTGTGGTGCGCGTCTCAACGGTTAAATACATGTCAGCAATTACAGAACAAGATGTCGATGCTCTTTCGTCGTGTCGGTGTATGCAGTTCACCAGAAATGAAGGATAAATTCTACAAGAACCTCCCTTAACTGCCCCAAATTTTTCGGTCAATGAACATCGTGGTAGTTGCAGGAGACTTCAATGCTCAAGTGTAGTCCCTGNGTCCCTGGATGAATCAGAAAGATGCCTAGGCGGCCTGCATGCAATCCGACAACCAAGATCACGCGCTTTACAAGAAAGTTGATAGATCCTTTCGTGAAAACCCCAAAGGAATTAACTTAATGAGCATTGTTTCTAAACATCTTGCTGACATTATACTCCGTCGACTGTCTGCAGCAAGGGAACGGTGTACTTTTGAGAATCACGCAGGTTTTAGACCTAACTGAGGTTGTTTATAACGTATTTTCACCCTTGACCAAATTCAGGAACACAATCTTCTCACAGACCCACCATTTCTATCTTCCTTGGTCTAAAAGAAGTCTTCGATTTAGCCAACCGCTCTATATTCTACGGCGGCCTCAAATCAATCCGGGTCAAGTTAGGCTTTATGCATCCCATAGGGTGGATTTCCAGCACTTTTGACAAGTTACAGAAAAGAAAACATTAAACATTGGAAAAAAGAATAAACGTTTACAAAACGAAAAACCAATGGGCGTGATTAAAAGCAAATACAACAGGTGATTTCCCAAGTCAGTAACGATCGTTGCTTGGATTACTAGGATACGAGCAAAATGAGGGATGATGTTGTTTCAGTATGTGCTGGTACGCAAACGAAAAATACTAAATTTGGAACACGTACAGAAACAGATCTATTGAGATGACCATGCTGGTGGCGTTCTTTATTCGACTGATAAATCTATCACACGAATCAAAATGTTTACACACAATGAAGATAGCCAAAACGGTCTTGGAAATGTTACTGCAACGGGAAAGAAGTTTAGGACACAGAAAAGAAAATGAAGTCTTTCTGCTTTAGAAAGGAAAAAAGCTGGAGAAAAGTACGATTTGCGAGAGAATGCAGGCTGTCACAAATTTGAGAATTACATTTAGAGAACTGTCAAGCTTTTCAAGTCTTGAAGCCTAGAAGAATAATCTGCGAGCGCTAACGTAAATGTTTTCAACATGCTTGGATCAAGAAAGGGTGTGTGACAAAGTAACTCCAAGATATTTGACAGAGTCAGCTTTTGGGATGATATTACCGTTAACAGTAACTTCAGGTTGGTTACTAAGAATGGTTTGGTAATGAGCGCCTGTGTTAGGGCTCAAAGGAACATCTACACATTTATCGACCTTTTGCATCAAAGGCCCGGGTATAGATTAACTAAACGTTTGATTTGGATCCGCGGATAAGTCCCAAACAGGACGAAACAGCTGTCTAGTGCTCCTCCTCGTTCTTCATAAATACTTTAATTACCCTCTTTTGATTACGTTGTGATGTACGTGAAATTTCCGTCGTTTTTACTCCAATGTAACAGTGAACGCCTGCTTCTTTCCCGAAACAGGCACAGCTGCTTATCCAAGTAATTACAATAGAATACAAAGAGAGACTGTCGGTGTTCAAACACCGCTGTAAACGCCGCATTGCATAAGTCTGGCAGGGAAACCAGACAAGCAACGCTGAGTTAGAGTGTAGAGTTCTAGGTAATCGCGGTTGTCTACTGAAGCAAATGGTGGGCCTCCAAAGACTGTTTGGAGAATATGTTGCGCATGTCACCTAATATATTTCAACAGAATGCGACTTTTTCGAGGTAAGTTATGGAAAACAGTTAAGGGTGATCAAACTAGGATCTGGTAACAGGGTACGAAAGATTTGACCAGGAGACTGACTTGCATAGGTCACGTAAAGCATCCTGAATGGAGACCTCAAGATAATCATACCCGATGGTTAAAGACACTGGGAGATACGGCTGTGTCGTACACAGTGATGCTCGTGCGTCTACTCAATACTCTTGGAACCTTAGACTACCTGAATTTTTTATTTTCACCTTGACACGGCCTTCAACATTCTAATATTTTCTACTCCATTAGCTAAATGGACACCAAAGGAGAGCAACCAAGGCCACCGCGCAAAAGTGACTGATTAATGGTTGTATAAACTAAAAATTGAAACTCGATATCATTCTGGTGCTAGTAGAGTTTTATGCTGTTCGGCATTTAGATTGCGACTTTCACTGATCAGAGAGTAGGTCCTTGTGACTGTATGATTCATACCTTGGATTATTTATCACATCGAGCAGTGCAATGATCAAAAGTAAAGAAAATGAGTTTTGGACAATATATGGTAATCTGGGGGCTGAAAACACAACTTTGAAAAATGAATTGTACGACGGTTTTCAACAATTCTCATAATCCCTATGCCATTAACCGTGAGAGCCTTGGGACTGTTGCAGCCCGATTTAATAACTGGTCACTAGGATCATCAGAATAAGTTGATAGGAATGAAAACAGAATTTCGAGTAATGAGAACTCACCTGAATACTGGATACCAGAATAAGGATGGCTGCTATAACCAGTCGCACGTCCACTTTCGGTGCAAAACGTCTACGATAGTATTGATAATAGTTGTAGTACATCTGATCCGGATTGTCTAACATATAGTCGTACTCGCGACGTTGTTCAGGATCTGTCAAAATCTATGCAAAATCACGGGGAGGGGAATTAAATACACCAATGCAAAGAGTAAAATACCTCATATGCTGCATTTAACAATTTCATTTGTTCCTCAGCTTTAGCCTTCGCCTCGTCGTTAGTCTGTTTGTCCGGGTGTGTTTGAAGCGCAAGGCGACGATAACTTCTTCGGATTGTGTTCCGATCATCATCGCGTGTGACCTGAAGAACTAAAACATTCAAATTATCGGGGATTTTCATGAGTGGAGCACAACCTTTAAATAATTTCACAAGTGAACGCAAATACTATAGTTTTATATGAGGGAATTCTGTATTTTTCTTTACTGTATCAAAGTTCATAAGAAGCACACAGAAGTAAAACGGATGAATTAGCAGTTAAATGGTATTCGCCTAGTTGAAGTAATCCATATTTAGTGAGTTAACACATCAAGTAACCAAAGGATTTAACATCGGCCTCCAATGAACTACAGTTTTCACACAAGGCTCCGCTGCCTTGCTGGTTAATGTTTTGTTATACATAGGCTGTTTATGAATCCAGGTAATTCCATTCGCTTTGGATTTGGAAACCTGAAAGTGTTTCAACCTTGAGCGAACCCTTGACTGATTTCGCTGTCATAACGATATTGTACAGGATTAGATTATGCCAGCTCTGGGATCACTCATGTGACATATTTTTTTCTTTATTACACACTTTCGTGTGATGAACAGCAGACGAAGTAAACCCCATAGTCACGAGGACCTGCTGTTTATTGATGGAAACCGGTAACCTAAGCCCCGGGACTTGGAGTGGCGAACCACATAAGACCCCGATAGGTTAGGCGTGGTACTTACTTCATATACTGCGGCTAGCTCCTGGGAAAGGATAAGCCGGCTCCAGACATGATCGCCATCATGCTCATGAAGTTCATTGGGAGTTTGGTACGAGAGACGTCCCCAGCGTCACCCGGCGTTTGTTTATTTTAAGGGTGCACCTCTAGTCTTTGCACAACCAGGTGAGAACTGCAAGGCAACAGAAAGTAAACCCTCGCCTCGGAAGTGACTTTAGTTTTATAAGGCCAGTCACATCGACCGTTGTCACGACACCGTCATTGGGCGTATGCGGCTTTAAAACACGAGCCAGGTGACCAGCATGAAACCCACCACACCCTGGTAGTACTGCCGCTGCTTTTTCGCGACTGCTTATTTGTTGCGGTGTGCTACAACTTATTCACAGCTAACCTTCTTAGGTGAAGGTAGCCCCCTATCCACAACCCGGGGACGCGCCTGGTAGCATCCAGCTCTGCTTAACCCGAGCGTACCCAGGTTACCATTTAGCCGTGGTATAAATATATATATATATATATATGATAAAGTAAGGATAGGCGCAGTGAGAGGTTAATATGACCGAATACCAATCCTCGAGTGCAGAAGTGGCGCGGTGCCGCGTAACAGAATAGAAACCTAATGGAACGATAAAGTATTTTCCTTGTAGGACATTTTAGACACATTGTGTGCGCGATAAGCCGCCTTAAATACTGCTGTTTTTATGGGATAGGTACGTGAATGACCTTTTCAGATACTATATGCAGCTAAAAATGAGAAGTGTAGATAAAAAGTGAAAAGATCACCTCTGAACTGCCACTTGGACCATAAAACTACTACCTCAGCCACATGTGTATTATTTTCCTGGAAGTGATGGTACCACAGGAGTATGAAGCGGATAAAATATGCATCAGTGAGTAACTGTTTTTAGAGGTAGAGCGAGAGGTAAACACATACCCACAGGTCATTCACCCATACCCCATCACGAAGAGCTATTATGGATGATTTGATGCGACTCACCATCATAGCAGTTCCGACTCCCGCAATATATTTCACCAAACCCGAATGCGGTTTGCGCGAACAGTGTTGAAACTGTCAGCAACAACAGCCATCCTGATCCGTTTATCCTCGTTCCGTCATAACACTTATCCTCTGACAACCACATACAGGCGATAAATCTGAATATTGAAATCCAAAAAAACAGAACATTACCATTCAACACGATGACACAATCAAACAATGAATTCAAAGAAAACTGGTAAGTGCAAGAATACAAGCAACGACGAAACGAGAAAATAAGCTACCGATTGAGGCAATGCACAAAGTAGTTAATTAAAGATCTAATCAAAAAGATTGCAAGAACAAAATTTAGTTGAAATATATTCTGGCGATTACTCATTCGGGGTTGAGTTGATCGAATTTATTCTCATATAAACTAAATTAAGTCCAACTTCTTTTATAGTCGTTTGTTAAAATCTCGACAGAACTGGACGTTCTATAAGCAGTCTTCGAACATAAAGATTCCCTATATATATTTTTCCTTAAAAAAGAGAAGTTTGTGCCAATATATGTGAACAGTATTACATCGGTTGTTGTAATAAGTTCGTGTGTAGAAAAACTGCGGTTAGATATGTGGGAAATCGCAGCTGAAAATACGGAATTGTCCGTCAGTCGCAATAAAGCCGATAATGCCGGATAACTTTGCTCACGGAATGCGGAAATAAAGCTTGAAACGAAAACTGGAAAGCTCTGAACAACAACGTTACATATGGTAAAAACTCGACCTTCGACTGCATGTCTAAAATGCCTAATGGAGTTATAAGCTGCCAGCAGCTCGCGTCGAAAAGCACTATATTTTGTTTCGGTGGGTGTGAGTCGTCGAAAGTTAAACTCAGAAGATTTCCAAAACCCAGAAACCTGCTGTTGCAAGACCGCTCCGAGTGCAAAGTCTGAAACGTC